TTATCACAACACAAGACTGATGGAGAAGGTGGAAATGACCTGCGAGAATGGCCGCCATCGAATTCAGTCACTTATACCGGGGAAGGATAGTCGATACGTACATGAATGATGATTGTAGTACCGCACAAGCCAGGAGAACAGCAGCAAAGGAAGGGTACTCGTGGAGTAAGAAAATGCTCGTTATGAAATATGTGATGAGTATTGCCACACATTGTGCTATGTTCTTGATCACAACAGACAACCATTTCACAACGATACCTGCCGTCCAACTCGACAAGGTCCACGACACCAGGGCGATGAGTGTACGCTCATCCCAGTGGTCGAAAAGATGACTCAACCTCCGAGTAGCGTCACCATCAATAACAGGCGCTATGACCATGAGAGTCCCCACGCATAGACAGCTTGCTATCGACAGCATCGCCTGAAACAGAGTGGAACTACAGTTGAATACGACAGCCGCTATCGAGGGACCTTCTGGTAATAGAAAGGGACATCGCCACCAGCTTTGATACACTTCTCGGAGTACACGGCACCGATGCTGGTGAACGTCAAAGTCGCCAAGAAAAGGGGCAGTCCCTGGCTGATCGTTGCGAACTGTCGCTCCTCGAATACTCGTATCTCATAGAAGGCCGCGGTTGTCACGAATACGAGCAGGAGGCATTGCAATTGTATGACCGAGTATCTATAGCGATTCTCATTAAGATTGGAAGTGAACACCAGTGATGGAAGACTTGAATGACAACTCGAAAGCAAATCCATCACATTCAGAATCACGAAGATCGTTGACGCGCACCATGAAACTTATAGACTATAAGTTTCATGGGGCGCGTCAACTCAAAACTTCCGTAAACACTAAGTGTTTGCGGAAGTTTTGAGGCATTTTTGATGCCTAGGAGGAAAGATCTTCGTACCTCAGAATGAGAATATCGATGCATAGAAAATGCCAAACGAATGAACCCGTTACCGACCTAGTGCCCATGAGCAAACTAGAAAGGATGGCATTGGTCGGAAGGACTGCTTGGGACATCACCTTCAACGTACCAGCATCGATGTATTGCAACGCTCGCAGGCCCAGAATCTAATAATCCTGCTCTATGCGCCTAGAACTTCGCTGCCTTACTCTGGCCATAGTGAAACTGAGGGCGCTGGGGATGAGTCGAAGGAAGTAGCGAGTAGACCACATCGAATGGCACTGTCTCGAACCAAGACATACCAGGGATATGCTCAGTGAAGCCACGAGTGACAGGACATTCTCAGCGAGAACCATGGATCCTGCTGAGTATCTACATGGTATACAGAGCTCGATCGGAATTAGGGGATGCAGAGTACCGAGAAGCCCGCATGGAATTCACTCAAGAGTGACGACCATCCTCGAGCACCTCGACCCCTATGGCTCATTATGACGGGCATAAAATGACGATTATTTCGTGGCTAAGTCGATAGTTTCCTGCCCACAGTACCTCTCATCGGGAGACCGAGCACTGTAACTCCAGTAGACCATAACAGCCTTGTTGGCATCGAGGAAGGTGTAGAGGAACAAGAGTAGAACTCCGCCGCTGCCTGCACTCACTGCAGTGAACTGGCCTTTCCTGATGTGATCACATAGCTGACAGCACGATGAGGTTTGGGGGATTATTGGGTTACACCATAGTCCCCCAAAGCCCATGCTATACCACACTTTGCGCAAATCACCTATGTTGTTCGATAGGCTCCTTCAGTGGCTGCTGATGGTCATACAGGCCCGCATACTCGAGATCAGGCAGCTGGTCATTGGCTGCTGGTGGAGGGAGTCTTTCCTGTGAAACAAAGCACCCATTTTGAGATGATCATTCTCATGACCCTTCTTGGATCAGGGCGCCCCATATTACCAAATCATTGTGGAGACCATCAACGTGTTGAGGCTGGAGCTGCCTGGGTAGTGTCTGGTTTGGTGACGCTGGGATGGCGGTCATCAAGCGGGGTTACCACCGGCAAACTACGCAGGTCATAGATGATGAATTCCTTCCTCTCGAAGACCAGATTTTTCAAGCGGGTTGCCGAATGATGATAGCTCACGTCGACGAGGAATTGGCAGGAGGTCATCGGTCGCGCTCTAGAATCGGGCCTA